GGCTGGGGAATTCTGGGAGTTGAAGTCCACCCATCTTAAAGTTGCTGAGGTTGAGGAACCCGATCTAGAGCAGACTGGAATCCAAACAGCCGTCACACAAACCATAATCCTTCTCCAGGCTGGGGACTGCCCCTTGTCCTTGAGTTTTCTCCTGACTAGGATAATGAAGTGGGTGTGTCTGCCCCCCCACCCCAAATGTGCAAGTGCTGATTTAATGGCCAAGGCCAGATTTTTTTAAAACAACAATGTTAATATTCCTTGTAGAAACTTCAGCAGGGTTTGGGAGAAGCATCAAGATATGAGGGCATGTGAGGTTGAGGGCACGTTGCCCATTCCTCCTCTATAGTCTCAATTAATTCAATAAACATGCTCAACAAATTCATGAGGTCTGATTTCAGGTAAATCTGACACAGAATTGTGGAACCTTTGCATCACACTCCAAAAAGAGAGACAAAGGAAAAGATTTTCCAGCTTTTTAGCTTATTAGTTAGGATTTTTGTTGATCCTTTCCTTATAGCTAAGATATGCCATAACAACCTAAGAAGATAGACTGTCCTTGTTTCCAAACAAAAGCTGCTGAGGGGAGATTCAAACAAAAGAATGAAATGAAATGAAATGAAATGAAATGAAATGAAATGAAATGAAGCGAAGCGAAGCGAAGCGAAGCGAAGCGAAGCGGAGTTTGGGCCTCAAGCACCAACTGTAAAAGAAAGGTCTACGAAATCATAGTTTGGAGATGGAGGATCAACTAGAAATGGGGGAATCCCACAATTTTAGAATGGACTAGTCTAAGTTACAGGCGCACACATGTTCTATTCTTAATCAATGTTCTTTGTGAAGAGTGATGTGTAAAGGGAAGGGCTGTGGAAGCCTGAGATTATGACTTCAGACCATGCTCTTGGAGAACAGAAAATAAATTTAAAAGATATACAGAGTTGTGTGAGCATGTGAGGTGAGCCTTCTTAATGCGACCTGAGAGAATGCATGGACCACATTATTACCAGCTATGTGGTGAACATGGATCAGGCAAAAATTGCCCTCCATGGAAATTAAATGTACTGTACACTCGACTTATATGAAAACTGCAAAAACAGAAGGACAACAAACTCTATGCACAGAAAGGGAACAGAGAGATCATCAGATTTTTAATCAAGGGAGCTGCTGGATTTGGAAGAATTGTTTACCCAACCTTTATTAAAATATAATTGATTGAAGTCAACAACCAAAGAGTCAGAACAAGACTCGCTGGCAGGTCCCGATTGACATTTTAAGGTATTTTGCATCTCATTCAAACAAAATTCATATGCTGGAAATAAGAGATTCAACCAATAAATATTACTTCAGGAGAACATAAGGAACGGATTATTTATCTATCCAACTTGCTCTTCAACTTCCCTTAATAATGTGCTTTTCTGGGAGAAAAGCAT